CCGCTCCCAGAGCCGCCCGCGGATGCGCTCCACGGCGCAGCCTCAGCTGCCGGCGTTGCGCTGTGCCCGGTAACGTCGCTGCTGCTCAGCATCGTCCTCCAAAACAACGCGAGGCGGGAAGGAGAGCCTGGGCTCGCAGCGACCGACAGCCCTGCGCGAAATTATCTTTTATTCAAGACACTGACCGGATATTCTGGCGCCTTCCGTTAACGAGCCCTGCCCAGACTATGCTACGAACTGAAAGCAGCCACGAGCTCTGTTTCCGAAATTAAGACCGCTTTATGTTTCTAAAAGAAATACCGAGATATTTCCTGACGGCGTACGTCTATACTGAATCCCGTTCCGATCTTCAATTCGTTGCTCCAGTCAGAGAAACCGAACGGGAGCCAACGCCTCCCCCTCCCCAAACGATCGGCATTGGGAGGCTCCACGTGGCCCTTAATCATCGCCCAAGGAAACGAGTTGCTTCCCACATCTGTGCACAAGTGCTGTGTTTTTCCATCCTCCTCTGCAGAATTAAACCTTCCTATAAACTTCACCGGAAGATTCTCCTCCAGCAGATCACGGGTTGCTATTCCTGCCTTCTAGCACACCCATGCGAATTACGGAAAACAAGCGACAGCTCTGGGATACGCCTGGCTACGCACAAGCGGCGGTAGCTGACGCACACTGAAGAGGCGATGACCCACTCCATCAGCTATGGGACATGATCAAAGGAGACTCGGAGCGCAATCCCCAGCCAATACACAAAGAACTCAAACATAAAGCCCTTACTAAGGGATCTAACATGGATGCAGGAAAGAAGGAGAAATTCCTGGGACACGCTCTCATCTTCCTATGGATCAGCGGGAGAGAACCCTCTCCGATTTTTTTAAAGACCGACACGAAGTTTTCAACTTTCTTTACTGGATTTCGGTACCCCTGTAAGCACCGTTCTCGGCAATTCGGAACCAACGATCCGCAATTTTTTTTTTTTTTTTTTTTTCAGTCCACGTCCTTCGTGTAAAACACTTCCATTAGTACAAGAGCCAATAAAACGCACGTTCTCAAACGCGCCGCGTTACGGACACCGCTTTGCCACAACCCCCGGTACTTATCCAAGCGCGTCCTTGGCGAATGGAACGCCTAATACGAAGAGGATTGGTATGAAAGCACTGCTCGTTCTTGTCACCCCAGCAGTGCGCCCGGCGACGCACAAGCGGCGGTAGCTGACGCACACTGAAGAGGCGATGACCCACTCCATCAGCTATGGGACATGATCAAAGGAGACTCGGAGCGCAATCCCCAGCCAATACACAAAGAACTCAAACATAAAGCCCTTACTAAGGGATCTAACATGGATGCAGGAAAGAAGGAGAAATTCCTGGGACACGCTCTCATCTTCCTATGGATCAGCGGGAAAGAACCCTCTCCGATTTTTTTAAAGACCGACACGAAGTTTTCAATTTTCTTTACTGGATTTCGGTACCCCTGTAAGCACCGTTCTCGGCAATTCGGAACCAACGATCCGCAATTTTTTTTTTTTTTTTTTTTTTTTTCAGTCCACGTCCTTCGTGTAAAACACTTCCATTAGTACAAGAGCCAATAAAACGCACGTTCTCAAACGCGCCGTGTTACGGACACCGCTTTGCCACAACCCCCGGTACTTATCCAAGCGCGTCCTTGGCGAATGGAACGCCTAATACGAAGAGGATTGGTATGAAAGCACTGCTCGTTCTTGTCACCCCAGCAGCCCTACAGACTGCGGGTTTTACCTGTAAAAATCAGACATGAGAGATCTTCGCATTTCCCTGTAGAAGCTGTATCCAATTTGGAATATCGAACAAGGAACTAAAGGGGTGCTAATGGGTTTACAAGAATACTTTGTGAAGCCAACTGCAGCTGGAATGTGATAACAGCTCTGAGAAAACAGAACATCCTCGAGGAGGATCCAGGTTAAAGTACTAACATTGTGGTTTAGGTCACAGGAGATAAGCTAACAGCGTGGGGAATGTGCATCGTTAGAGGAAAAAAAAAATATTTGTAGTAAATTGCCTATCTTTGGCCTTGGAAGGCATGTAGGGGACAAAACGTCTAGCATTTTGTCGATATGAGGATAGCCAGGGATGGGAACCATGAGATACAGAGGGAAAGGGGAATGTTTCAAGGATGGGGAGCTGGCAGGTACCGGCTGGGTTGTTCTGGCAGCAGGATAAGGGGGGTAAAAGGCGAAGTTCACCAAAAGGACAAGGTGAAGAAGAGGAGCGGATGAAGTAAACGACCCCTGAAGACCACTTACTCAAATCACTGAGCATGTACAACTGGGAGGAGAATATGTAAAGGATTTCCGGGAATTCCTTTACCTATCCCCGCCTTTTCTGAGGAATGTAATGAATATGTATGTAAAATTAGTATATAAACTATACGATTAACCCTGTGCGGCGCGCACGTTAGGAGGGGCGATCCCCCGTGCGCCCGGCGCCGCAATGAATACCTGCTTAATGGTCGCCAAGGCCATTGAGTCCTGATTTCGGCTTTTCACGGCTTCAGAACACAAAATATGATGCTAACCTCTCATCCCAAAGAGTCGATTCAGAGCCTCAACATCTCAGAGTCGGTTCAGCGCCGTTAATGCGCGGCCAGCACCAGCTGCTGCGGTAACAGCCATCCCACCACCCGGTAAGTAAGCACCCACTCTTCAGACAGACAAATCAACGTGGAAACCAGGATCGAAAACTTCTCCCTTGCTCAACTTGTGTTTCCCAGCTTCCTCTGCTCCACTGCTGGGACAACCATGAGGTTTTAATCTACCAGCTCTAGACAACTCGCTATGGCACATAGAATTCCTCCCTTCTCCCTTAACCACTCTTCCTCCCTCTCTCGACTCCCACCAACTCAGCAAATCGCGACTCTACTACTGGGGTAGCGCCACGACGCTACGGGGGAGCTCAGGTCGTGGGGAGGGGCCCAGCGAGGCCAGGGGGCACCTCCAACCGTTCTCCACTTTCTTATAAAGCATCCTGCGTCGCACGCCACTTTCCCCCACGTTTTCACCGGGCTTGCAGAGTCGGAACAGCACTCCCGACGCCCACCAGTGGGTTTTTTTTCCCCTCACTCCACCCCGTCACTACCACTTCATGTATTTCAGCTCTTTAAGATGGGCGAAACCCATCAACCAGCCATCTTGTGAATCAATAAAAACCCGAACCATCCTTGGCGCAAATGAACACAAGATTAATCAAACCAGGTGTAACCACACCTATTTTCAAAGATAATGAGTACCCTAATTACAGTCACGCCGAGGCAGCTACCAAACTCCTGTGCACCTCCAGGGTGTTGTCACCCGTTAGAAGACCCTACAAAAGGGAAACAAAAATCCGGTAACAGCTAGTACTGACATTTGACGCCAAGTAGCGCGGAAAAAAAATTTCCAGCGCTAAGAATGCATTTAATGATAACGCCCTAGGCAAGAAAAAAAAAAGGAAAAAAGAAAATGTACCCCGGAAATTTTGCGAGGTATTCAGGAGGTCAAACTCTGAAATCTCAAAAGGCAAAGGCACGTGGCTAACGCAGATCACTACGGCTACATCCAACAGGAATACCTGATGAGGACTTGCACTGTAAAATTATTACCACAAAAAAGGAATTTCCATACACAGATGATTCATGAAATGAGACAACTTAAATAAACGACCCAAAAGAGAAAAAATAAAAAGAAAAAAAACCCACAATTGTGAATGCGCTTACCACGCCTGAAGTAAGTGGGGAGAGAGACGGACCCGTCCCAGCGGAACCGTTTTCTGCCGCGGGGCCGGGCGGCGGCGGCGGGAAGTTGGGGCTGAAAACCATCAGGTCGCTCTTGCCCGCGCCCTCCGCCACGCACAGGCTCCGGCTCTGGCGCTGCGAGTACGACCAG